CTTCGGAGCAGAAGAAAACAACTTTTTCCATCCTCAGTGTGACAGCCCTTTAGATATTTGAAGATGGCCATCATATCTCCTCTCAGTCTCCTTTACCAGGCCAAACATACCAGTGGTAGAAGAGTTCTCTCTCATTGGTGAGACTGACTTCTTTGAGACAAGATTGTTTAGTGGCGTGGGGAATGGAGAGATGCGAGTGAAGCTTCCTCCCCCCCTCCTGCTGGACTCCTGTGGTTACTGGTAGGAAAGGCACTTCTCACATACACATGATAATTGACGCATGAACCGGAAATCGAAACCAGGCTGCGAACCTTAACATTTCCTTCGAAACTAACCCCATCAAAATCAATTGTACTGTACTTATTTCAGACCGAGAATGCGTTTAGGATGTGAGCATTGATGTGAAATATTATGTTATGGCCCATTTGCACAGACACTCATTTCCCCCTGGCTTTCTAGTTAAATATACCCCCTACCCTGTCCAGATCTAAATATCTCTCCTCGCACCCCATTTCCTCAGCCCCATATCCGGGACGGATCCCTCCTGATTCGAGAGGCTTCTTCCTCTGCTTAAGCCGTGGCAGGAGGCAGCATCCTGGGCTAGCCCCTCCCTAAATGAAAGCCCCCTCGAGGTAGGAGGAGGAGGAAATGTGGCCTTGACAATGAGAGGGGCTTTGTGGAGGCAAGATGCGAGGGGCTGCCGCTGCTTAACATCTGGCAGAGGCGAACTCTACCTCCTTGTACACTATCAGAAAGTCCAATTAAAAGGAGGAAGGAGGCGGCCGGAATGGGTGGGTGCTGCTGCCGAGGCAGCTGAAAGCAAGGGAGGGGTCGTGACTGGTCAAAGATAGAGTCGTGCTATTTTGATGGCGCTTTCCTCCTTCTCCACGACGCCCCCCTCCAGCCCCCTACTCTCTCCAAAGCTGCCATCCAAAGGTCTCCTTCTTCCAACCCATCCCGGCAGAGGCCGAAGGAATGGAGAGGAAAGCCCCGGTCCCAAACGGAGATTCTGACAACAAGGAAATGCTGCTGGTTTCGCGGGCGTTTAGGGCATTGTTGGTGGCGTGGTCCTTCACTGGTAGGGTTGGGCATGGCTTGGGCAGGTCCGTCTGCCTACAAAGCCTTGAAATCGGCTTCAGATCCCTTGGTTTAAATGATGCTTTGCTGCCACAGCATACGAACTGATTAATTCCGAGCAGCAAAGCGGCAATCGCATATATAAGCCACTTGTCATATTCGCTGCTGGGTCAGCTTATTAATACAAATATTAATTCCCAACTTGGGTCGGTCCAGAGTATCAGGGATCGCCAGATCCATTACTGTATATCCCTGCTGGACTACTGAGGTCTTCAGGGAAGTCACTGTTGGGGGGGGGCGTCCCTGGTGGCTGGGATGATGCTCAACTTGTAACCACAAAGAGTCCTCCTGCCTTCAACGTCGCGGGGCCTAATTTTGTGCAGCTCCCTCCCAGTTTAGGCCAGACAAGTCCTTCCACCCCTGAACTTACTGAAGATTGTCGTTTTTCCTGCAGGCTTTCTAACTGAATTATGATTTTATAGGATTAACTGGCTTTCGTCTTTTTATGATAGGTTAGGTCTCCTGCACACAGAGACAACCGCAATCAAGCGCCATACCAATCGTTGAGATAAATGATAAAATACTATCGAGTTCATGGGTCTTATGGGCTGCCGCGAAAGTCTGGGGACAGTCGGGCAGGTCTGAATGCTAGATATTCTAAACGTTCTCCATGCTATCCTTACGGGGTATAAATCCCGGGCGGGATATAAATAATAAAAATTATTATTATTATTATTAATTAAGACCCTATGCACTAGTAGCCAAGGCGTTGGGAATCCTTCTTTATGTACTCGAGAAACTCAGTGTGGTGTTTCGACCTTCGAGGTCCAACAAGCGTAGGAGTTGGGTTAGGCCACCCGCCCTTGCTGGTCTTGGGCTCCCCGCGTTAGCCGCTGGCCTTGCTTGCCTTCCGACGCGCCAGTGTTCGGGGGAGAGCCCCGCTGGGTGGGCAGAGACAACTCCTCGGCCGATCCCCGGGGGCTGTTGTGGTTTCAGTTCGCCAGCAACCAATTTAAGCCTCGGTTTTTCTATGCAGCCGAGCGAGGCGCTGACCGGATTTATGCTCGAGGCGTGAAATTAACAGCCCGCAGCTCAGCGGAGAAAGCCGGACGGGAATAATTCCGCTGCATTTAAGCGATTTAAACGAAACACCATAAAATATGGATTTCTCCAGGCCCCTTCGCCAGTCAGCCCCAATATAAATTGCGTTTCAAACGCCTCTATTTCTTCGTGCTTTGTTTTCTTCTTGCTTTAAACGGGAGCCCTGAACTACTGCTTGCTTAAACGAAACCAACCCGTTCACTAACTAACCAGGACCGCCGGTTTGAGGCTGAAATCCTGAACATATTTCACTCGGTCCTCGGGAACCAATCTCCTTGGACTCAGAGGGACTCCGGGAAAATCACCCCAGCGATGTGTTATTTGTGTGTGTGGGGTGGGGTGGGGGTGGACGACGGTTCTAGGGCTGTATATTCGGAAGATAGCACCCCTTATTCTCGTGGGACTTGCTTCCAATTAAGTGCATATCGGATTGCCATCTGAAAGGGCTACCTGGTCTTAAAAAAACAACCGCCCCCCCAAACCCCAAGTATTTAAGCTGAAGCTTATGCCATAATAAATTTTAGTCTTTGAGGTGCAACAGTACTCCTTTTGGGGGGCGGGGAGAGGTGTCAAGATATCAGCACGGCTACTCCCTCTGCAAGTATTATGGAGATAGTTGGATAAACCGAGTTCGGGCTTATATCTCATAGACAGCTTCCTGTCTGTGTTTGGCGTTTCTGGATCAAACCGGAAGCCATTCCCCACCCGCGCAGCAGTCTGTGCTACCAAATAGCCTTAGAGTTCATCGCGATCCCCAGAAATCTGATGGCTGCAAAGCGATCGAGGGGGAGGGTCTCCGTTCGTTATAATAAAACTGTGTTGGCGGCGGACAGAAGAGTTGGAACTGAGACACGTTTGGTTCTGCTGATCACAATACTATCGCCGATCGGAACATTTACTTGGAGAAAGGCCTGTTGACGTAATCGGGAGAATTAGAGTTAAAATGTGTTGTGAAGCCCAAATATTCGAATTTAACTGGCTGTGTGTGTGCGCGCGCCCCCCGGTTCGGGATAATTCATCTATTTCGTGGAGCGCTTGGAAGTTAACAAATCTGGCTCTGTTCTCAGAGCCTGGGCGCAGCCGACTTTTGGAAAGTGACTTTAATTCGCGCTTTGTTGCAGCGAGGAAGGCAAGGCAAGTGTTGGCTAGAGGGAACACTCAGGACGAGAGTCCTATAAGCCCCCCAAAGTATTATTAGTTGAAGGCATCGATATGGCTATGCAAAGTTAATTTAAAAGCTGATATCAACCCCAGAGTCGTTCGCTACTGGAGTTAACTGTCAGGGGTCCTTTACCTTTTTATCCGTAAATACACCATAACCGAATACATTAGCACTGCGATTCACTCAAGAAACACCCGAGTTTTCATTTCATTTTAATTTTGGATCGGTAGAAATAAAAAAGGAGATGGGAATCCAGTTACAGCGCTGTTTTTTTAGAGGTTATTACAGACGAATTCCTTCCTTCCTTCCTTCCTTCCTTCCTTCCTTCCTTCCTTCCTTCCTTCCTTCCTTCCTTCCTTCCTTTTCACTCTTCCATTGTGATATGATTTCTTATTACACCCCCCCCCATTATCCCTGGCATTAATGTGAAATGAAAAAGTTTCTCTTCCGCGCAGGCTGCTTCAGCGAATGGTGGCGATTTTCTTTTTATTTCAGCAACAAAGATGCTTTGCGGGCTTCCCTTCGTCTCCGTCCCCTTCTCCCCACTGCACAACTCCTCCTCTTTTGGTTGACACTGTCACTCTGCCACCGTCCTCCTCTTCCACCAAACGGTAGATATCTGATCCTCCGGCCGCTCTCCCCACCCACCTCATATCTTTTAGAATGACTTCCCCGAGGCCACCCTCACTCTCTTAGGAAACGCACCCGCGCAAGACCTTTGCGCGGTATGCGCGCCCGATTGCCACGAAGTCCGAAGGGTGCGTGTGTGGAATTAAAAAGCAAAAACGAGATACGGGCAGGGCAGGCAAAGAGTTTTCCGCAAGAGGATGGAGGGCAGGTTGAAGAGAAAATCCTTTCGCTTTTCTGGGGCGGAGGGAAGTCTCAGAGCTGGAGGTTGGGGAAGGGACCGCCTTTGCTCTGCCCTCTTCTCCCGTCTTAGATTCGCGTGGGGGTCCCCGCCCGAGCTTGCCCGGCCACCGGGCCACACAAGGGCCGCGCTCTACGCGGCGCGCCTTGCTAGCCACGCAACTGTCCTCCGCGGCTGCGGAGCGGCCCTGCGCCGGTGCCCAACCCCTCTGGGCGCCCGCTGCGCTGCCAATGACAAGCGGGCGACGTCGCTGGCGGGGAAGGCGTCGCTTTCTTTCCCGATCCTTCCTCCTCCCAGTCTTCCAGCCCTTTTTTGGGTTGGAAGCTCGTCTCGTTCGCCCTTCTCCTTTCTTCACCCTGCGCGCAATTTTCCTCCCTCGTCTCCCTCCCCATTTCATCTTCCTTCCTTCCTTCCTTCCTTCCTTCCTTCCTTCCTTCCTTCCTTCCTTCCTTCCTCTTCCTCCACTTTCCCTTTCTCCTCCTTTCCCTCCCCTCCCCCGGCCCCCCTCCCCGCGCGCCCCTCCCTCCCTCACGACTCTCCTCTCCCTCTTTCTCCCCAGGATGCTGATGGAGAGGCCCCCCAGTGACCCGCCGCGGGATGCCGCGCACGGAGCCGGAGCCGCAGCGGAGGGCGTCGGCGAGCCGGACTTGGGCTTGGGCTCGGGCAGCCACAGCGTCGGCGGGGTTGGCGATCGGCGGCGCGGGGGGATGGCCCTCCCGGGGGAGCCGGCGCTGCTCAATGGGGTTGCCAAGGAGACAGGCCGGCCGCCCCCCTCCCCCGGCCCGGCGCCCCCCGCCGCGCCGGTGCCCGTGATCGAGCTGGTGCGCGCCGGGCGCCCTATAAAAGCCGCGGACGCGCCGAGCGGCGCCAGGCAGAGCCAGCGCGAGCGAGACGGAGGCAGCAGCACCACCACCAGCAGCAGCAGCAACAGCCGAGCGCAGCGCGCCGAGCCGGCCAGCGCCCTTGCCCTCGCCCTCGCCACCGCCGCGGGCACAGGCACGGGCACGCCCCCCGCCGGCGCCAGCCTCAGCAGCAGCAGCAGCAACGCCAGCAGCGACGCCCGCATGGTGCAGCTCAGCCCCACGGCAGCCCCTGCGCTCCCGCTCCAGCCACCTGCGCGAGCCATGCTCTACGGCCTCGGCCCCCCGCTCAGCACCGCCAGCAGGTCCGCCGCAGCGTCGGGGGAGGGAGAGGGGGGAGGGAGGGACTTTTCTGCCTGTGCCATCCGTTCTCGGCTTGCTTTGCTTAGGGTCGCCTTTGTCATATGCCACCATTGTCGAGGATGTCCTCCGGTTTCACAGAATTGTGGAATTGGAAGGGAGCACGAGGGCCCTGCAGTGGAGGAATATTTTGCCCAGTGTAGGCTTCGAACCCACGACCTTGAGTTTAAGAGTCTCATGCTCTGGTTTGGGGGCTTTGCCTTGCCCCCACGCTTCCCCTCTCTCCTTCATTTTTCTTTTTCAAACCAACATCTTTTTCTTTCCCCGCTCTTGGTTTTTTTTTTTTTTTTTTTTTTTGTCCTCTCGTCTTCTTATGCCCTCTGAGTGCCAAACCTGAGCTGTGTGGGACTGTCTGCCTTTCCCTTTTGTCCGCTTGCCATAGAGAGAATTGATTTTTTGCCGTACTTGCTACGAAATTAATAGCCACCACCTTCGTCTCTCTGGTGGATCGCCTGTTCTCTATTGACAATCAAATTCCGTGGCCCCTCTGTATACGTCATTTTCTAAGCAACAATTATGCATCATTTTTAAAATGCCAGGTCTTTTTTTTTTTTAATGCCATTTGTTAAGTGTACGGGCTAGAACTGTAAAACAGGCTGTACGGTGAAATGCCATTGAACTACCGTAACTAGCATTACTAACTAGCAGACGTTGATAGCCTTAAAGTAACAAAGGTAATGCTAGTGCTCTGGATCCCTCTCCCACCCTCCCTCGCCGAGAAATTGTCTACAGTGGAATAGATCAAAAACAGAGAGAAAACATTTCCTCCCAGGGATTATTCTGAGTGTTTAATCAATGTGTTGCCTCCATTAGTTAGGAAATTGTTGAGGTTCCTTTTCACTGCCTGCAGAAATGCAATGCAGTTTAATCGCAATTCATATGTATATTAAAAAGCTCTGTCATGCCAGGGCCAAGCCTTCTTTGAGGTTAGTAGATGCTTCCACAATGATTTCCCCCCCCCCTTGTTACACAAATCCTTTAACCCTGGTAAGCATCCCTTGGGCTTAAAAAAAGGTGCTGTAAAGTATACCTTAATTCTTCCATTAGAAGCACTCTGAAAGTGCTTCAGGCCCGTGTGTAATACATCTGAATCCTAAAAGCATCTTCTTTAGAAGGTGAATGGGTTTCAGGGGAACTTACATCCAAATAAATGTGCTTAGAATTGCAGCTCAAGGTTTCTCGGTGTGTGTGATGAGCATCTGTAATATGTGCATATATGTGCAATGTTATGAATGCTCATCACACAATGCCCTCCTTTCCCACACTCACACTCTCTCTGCATATGCTCAGCTGAATGGAAGTACATTCAAAGACTGCCCAGTGTCTTCAGCCGAGATCTGCCTTGCAGTACTCTCTCCTCATTTTGTCCTGTATTCTGCTTCTTGCTTTGCAGTGGTTTCTTTGGAGAGCCAGATAACTTCTCAATGTACAGCAACAACCGAGTGAAAAGAAGACCGTCCCCCTATGAAGTGGAGCTCTCTGATGGTGAGGAAGCTTTTTAAATTTGAGAGTCTCAAGAACTGTGATCTGCTAGTTAATTTCCTGTTATTTTTGTGCTGGCAGGGGGACGGGGGACGGACAGATTATGATCTACAGGTGGAACTTGCAACAAAACGTTGCAATAGCGGTCCTTCTGCTCAGCCTTCCAGCCAGCCACACCTCCTGTCATGCTTCCTTTACTCCACAGCATTCCATAGCCATTCAGCATGCTGAGTTCTGCTTGGGCTGTTGTCCTGCTTCCAGGTTTTCTTCCCCCCTCCAAATGATTTTTGTACCTAGCAAACATTGAGGTTCTCCCAAGCCTGCTATCACTTCCCTCTTGTATGTGGATGGTGTGTCATTTTGGCGACTTAGGGATCTGCATTTGGTGAATATACAATGCCTAAGTACATAAATCGGAGGTAATTAACATGGTTGTCAGACTCCAACTCCCATCAGCCCCAGCCAGCATGACTAATGGTCAGAAATGATGGGAGCTATAGTCCAACAGCACCTGGTGTTGGCTTCATAGTGGTGATGATGATGGTGACAATAGCAATAATGAGAAAATGTTGGGATGAACCCAATTGGGTGGTATTCATTAAAGTTTTACTCAGAGCAGATCCATTGAAATGAATAGGCATGACTAAGTTAGGTCCATTAAGTTCAGTGGTTCTTCTACTCTGAGTAAAGCTTAGTTGATGACCATCCTAGGAGGGAAAAGACAGTATTTGCCTCCTACATTGCCCTGGTCCTGTATTTATTCATGTATTTAGGCAATATGCACTAAGCAGAACCAGTTTTTGGAAATCAAAGGAGCGTAGCCATCAGTGTTGGATGGGATTTGAGGGGGTGAGGCCTTTGGACCTCCAGCTGGGTCATGTGCCCAGATGTTCTGGAGCTTTCAGGGCTGGACTTGGGTGCAGAAGCCCAGGGCCTCAATCAACAGAAGGAGGGTCCTCTAAAGCAGCAGGACTGGCTTACCACATTTTGAAGTAATACACAATATTGCCGCTGTGAAAAGTGCAAATTCCATGGGATTGAAAATAAAGCTGCCAATATTGTGATGCTGTTATAGGAACCTATTGTGTCCAGTTCTGGCTACCTTGCCTCAAAATGGGTATTATGCAGCTGGAAAAAGAATAATGAAAGGACAGCCAAAACAATCACAGGACTGGAGGAAGGGTTACAACACCTGAGACTTTCTTTGTTAAAAAAAAAAAAGATGAGTAAGACAGGTGGCAGGATAGAGGTGTGTATGGTGTGGAGAAAGTGGAGAGAGAGAAGTCACACTCCCTCTCTCTTCATCCCCTGAAACTGAATGTTGGAAGGTTCAGGGCAGACAAAACAATGTACTTGATAGAGCCTCATTGAACTATGACACTTGCTTCCACAAGAGGCATCGATGGGCACCAACATGGATGGCTTCAAAACAGGATTAGACAAATTCATGGAGGAGAGGGCTTATCAGTGGCTGCTACTGATGCCTATGTTCTACCTCCACTATCAGAGAAGGTATATGCCTCTGAGTACCAGTTGCTGGAAACTATGTATGTATATATACTGGCCTTGAAGTTCATGGAATAATTTAAAAGTTGCCCATGAGCAAAAGGTTGATTTTAGGCTTCTTTACACCTGAACCATGTGAAGCATCAGTGTATACTTGACTGGCGAGATGTTCCTTCTTGGTTTATATATACCGAGGACATGAACTTAAGACCCAGAAGTACTATTAGCCTGTCTGGACTGTGTATAAACTGGGCATGCGTTCTTGTAATCACCAAGCTGAACACAGCCCCATCAGTCATGTCCAGATTCTCGACAGCCCTTTTGTAGCCTTAGGTAGGCAGCAATATGACAAAGAGGGTTTCCCTTAGTGGGGCACAACTTGTGCAGGTCGAGAATCAAAGAAGCCAAAGTGAGGATGCAGAGCAGGTTTTATTGATGTGGGATAAGGTCATGAAGTAGAAACTTTGTTAAATACCCCTGGAACTAATTCCATGAATGGGACACATGCTGTCACCCATACCTCATTTGCTCAAGAACTGTTATGGAGACATTGGGTTATTATGACCATAGCAGCCTGATAATCCCAGGGTAATTAACTGGCAAAATGTCATTTGGAGGTCAAAACTCCTTCCCAGTGAGAGGTCGCCACTTACAGAACATGGTGAGGATTTGTAATGTATTTCAAAGCAATAGAAATATCTAGTGGTCATGATTTTGCCGCTTTTTCAATCATTTAGGTTTAAATTAGGGATCAAACAAAACTAAAAGAAAATCACCTGAAAAGATTGAAATATATCTCCCCCCTTTTAATATTATATTTTAAATATCAGATTTGACATTTCCTCCATCCATATTGGCAAAGTGGTTGCTTGCTTGCTAGCTATGCTGCTTTACATATGCTTAGTAATCCTCAATATTCACATTAACAGTCGTGCTGGCTCTATTAATGAGTCCATTTTTATATTTCATCAAACATTTGACTTTGTCTGTTGCTAGCTCAGTTGTTCAACTATTGATATTTCCACAATTTATAGAAGGACTGGATATAATTTGGATGCCTCATTGAAAAGACACAGGGACAAGCTATTTGACATGACAATGCAGCTGGACTAATCTTAAATTGTGGATTTCCTCAATTTAAGATTAGTCTTGCCTCACCATCTTCAGTAGGTTTGCAAGGATCCTCTGTCTTTTAAATAAGAGTTATCCTGTGGCAGTGAGGGACTTCGCTTCTGCCAATGTGTTCATTTAGACCAAACCAACAATTTACATGGAACTGCTGCCACACTGGTTCTAGAGCAGCCCTCATTGAGGCAAACATGTAAAGTGGGGACCTGCAGAGGCATAGCCCATCTAACTTAGTATTGACAAGTACACGGACTGACAGCATCTCTCCAGGGTTTCAGATAGGGGTCTCCTCCAGCTCTTCCTGGGGATTGAACCTGAGACCTTCTGCATGCAAAGCAGATGCTCTGCCACTGAGCCACAACCCTGGGTTGGGAGGCTGCTGGAAAAGCAGTACAATGAATCCACACGCTATTAAATTATTTTTACAGGCGTTTTCAAAAACTGGGATTAATTTTGTGATGAATTAACTCTGTGTGGTATTTCTGTGGTTCTGTCACCTGAACAAGCAAAGAACACAAAGCAGAGAACGATCAATCCCAATGAGCCCTAAGTCTACAGAAGCCCAAACCAACAATGATCCTAATATATTTGATTTAATCCATTATAAATGCAGTTTTGCATTATGTCAAGGGTGGTTTGTGGGCTGCTTTGACCTCTGGGGGACCTCTCCAAGGGCCTCGTGCCAGTGACCTAAAAAGTGTGGGGGGTGATCAAGAGGCTGCCCTACATTCACACCCACTCTCTCCAGTACACACCCACACCCACACACACCGCTGAGGTTGGGTGGGATTTGAAACCATGACCCTAGATAGCAATCTCAGGACAATTTTCCACGACTGAACACAATTTTCCCTGTACCCTCCTTCTTTTCACCCCTCTACAGCAGAAACCTATGGCGGGTACTCCTCCATGCGACAGCAGAGTCCCAATGCTGGTGAGGACATCATCATTATTTTTTGTTCCATTGCTGCTGCCAAATTCTCAGGGGCCATAGGGAAGAACTTGGGGGAGGGGAGCTGGGCTTTTGGTGAACTACCCCTGCTTTACGTCCTCAAAGGCAAGACTTGAGAAGTATTTTTAGTCCAAAAGATGTGCACCAGTCAACTGGCAAAATGCCAACTTGTTCAGGGACACTAAGGTAGACCTTTGTGATCTCTGTGATGTGGTAGATTGGATGTGGTACACTGATGGGACCAGGACTAAAAAGTTGGATTTGTATCTGTGGGATGAGAGTTTATATTCCATCTTATTTATGAACTGAGATTACTTCGGATGTGCCTGCAACACATGACTTTCTCCAAGGCCAGGTAAGATGGTTGGGGTTCCTGGAGCAGTTCTCCAAACAGAGACCCTCTTTCACCCCAAAATAAATGCATGAAATCAAGTCCACAGGATAAGGCTTCTGGTATATTAAAGAAGGTGGGGAATCTTTTTGGCTCAGTGGGCCAGATCACTATCTAGCTGCAACCCAATGGATCAACTTTGACAGTTGGGTGTGGCTAGTTGGGAATGGCTTTGCAGGCAAAACTGAGATCCTTGCTGACCCACCCTAGTTAAGTCTGTGGTCCAGAGATTCTCTACTGTTGCTGCAGTAGGTTGATCTGAAGTATAAGGTCTGGGGGATAGAGAGTTGCCTTCTCACAACTTTTTCACAGCTACCAAGTTGGTGATCCAATGAAAAACGCTCAATGCCATCACCCACTTTTGTCAATGCCCCTGTAACTTAAGAAAAATGTCTCCACAGTCGAAGAATTTTTAGGGCTTAGTGCTTAGTGCTTAGTTCAGCTATCAAAACTCAGGATATAAAATTTAGATTGGCAGATCAATTTGGATATTCTAGATTTTTATTTCTATTTTTTTTAAAAAAGAAGTTTTGCTCATGGGTTGCGAAAAATATCCTCTCAGTTTGAGCGCTTCAGTGGAAGTAGATGTAATATTTGTTTTCTCAGTCATGACATGTTCTTAAGATAAGCCCTCAATATTTTTAAGCCATGCATAAATGGATCTGGAACAGGGCCAGTTTCCAGTTTTACTGCCACTCTTCTTGTCATGAAAACTGTTAGGCAGGTGGAGCTCCTTCTGTTGAACCTCCTGCAAGGAGGGATTTATAATCTGTATATGCACAAGGGCACAAGGATCTCAAATACAGGGTCGCCATATTCCTAAAAGTTAAAATCCGGAAAAGTTGTTGACCTTTGGGGAGCATCTTCAAAAAAGAAAAAAAGTGTTTTTAAAGCATTTTTTTTAAAAAAATATTGCTCTAGTTGCCATACATCTGGGTTCCCCCAACATTTGGCCGATTCTGTGAAAATCCACCCAGACGCCATTTTGGCAGTCCAATTCCTGGACATATGGCAGCCCTACTCAGATAGGCACCTCCTGGATTCCCAGGTCCTAAGAAATCCTTGACACATGTCTGCTTTTCTCTGCAATTGCCCATCTCTACCCCTAGTAAAGAGACAAACTATGTAATTTTGTATGCAGAGATGGATGCACTGGGCTATTTCTTCCTTGCAACATATACACCAGGAAGCTGGTCCTTGCAGAAGCACCCAGGCATATGTACAGGGTGGTCTGCTGGGGGAGAAGACAGCCACTCCAGGTTTCAAAATAATTGTATATTAAGTGTGGATTGTCAGGCGGGAATTGGCTCTTGGTGTGACTAAAAGCAGAGTGTCTGTGAGCATGTGAAGAATTGTTTTCCTTAAGCATTAATTCATCTCAATCCAGGCTTGGTGTCAGCACCAGGCCACTACCGAGGCCCCAGTACTGCATCAGAGGTCACTGACAGTGACATCTGCCCTGAATTTGGCATTTTAAAATTTCCCACAATGCTGCCAATATAGCCTGACAACCACCATTTTGTGATTCCTTTAGTGGCCCATGACAATGTTCTGTCAGGGGCACTGTGTGAAATTTAAAATGGAGCCTCCTAGCAGGATGTCATTGCCACCACGTAAGTCTGCAGTGCTCACTAATGTAGAAGACTCGCCAGAGGACAATTTGCAGAGTGCTCCTTGAGTCCTAGAGTTGACCCTGTCTCTGTCAGTTCCATTGACCTGGGACAAAGGCTTCTGGATCAGAGGGCAGGGGATCCATTGATAAGTTTTTTTTAGTGCTTATCCCTTTGCAAACTGAGAACCAAAGCCAGCTTTGAGCAACAGCTTCCTCCCCTTAATACCTATCGATTCAGATTTCCCTATTGCAACAGTTGACCTCATTACATCTCCAGCCCCCTGACTTTAAGAGACCCTTTATACTTGACTGCCCACTCAGTCCAGTTAACCTTCACCACTGCCACCAGTGCTGCTCATTTAAAAAAATGCCAAATTCATGCTGAAGTAAACAATGCCTATTAAGTCAAGTATGTGTAATCTCCTTCCTCTGCACAGTGCATAATTCATGCAGAATATAAGGGTAAACATTGCTTATGGAAAAGACAGGGGAATGACACTTGCTACTGCCTTCTGCTGTAACATGTGGTGATTCTTGCTCTTATGCACAGGGTTTTCCTGGTCACCTGGGTTGGCATCGGGAAGGAAATTCCCCCCGCGGCACATTGGCAGACACCGGGGCTTTTTCGCCTTCCTCTGGAGCATTGAGCAGGATCATCTGTTAGGATCAGGTGGGCGTATCCCACACGATCAATTTCCTGCTTCGATTGTTGGGTGGACTAACTTGTGGGGAACTGCTGGGTCCTAGGCCCCTTTCCCTTGGGAGGTGACTGCCGACGGGCTTTGCACTCAGCTAAATCCACATTATTATTTTTAAAATTCTGCTAAAATTGAGTATGTGCAAATTGCTGGAAATGGGTTGCGAATTAAAGTTATTGGTCTATATCCATGGCGGTTTTGCACTAGTGGAAATCACCTCTGTTTGCCCAAGATGATTTTTACTGATCTCCAGGAGGAGCTGGTCTGTTTCAAGGAATGGGGCAATGCCCCATCAGCCCAAGTCGACCCTTAGTCAGCTCCTACCTGCCTGCCATCTTTTGTATAGTGAGTCTAGAGATGGGCAGTGTTGGTTGTCAGCTTCCTCCTCCTTACTCTCAGGTGGACTCTACACACATAAAAAAAACAACACACTGCGAAAATGCTTTTGAAAAATACATTGAATTTGGCATAGCTCACTTTCGCCCTCTAGTGTCACATTTGTATATTGCACTTCACAACACATTTAAAATGTTTTATTTGCATCTGTATAGCTGAGTCCTCAGTGTCACCATTATGGAACTCAGCAATGAGGAGGATGGGGCAAAACTAGAATTAGTTGGATCTGCCTGTTATTGGGCATGGTTCCACCTACTGTGAGCCACTCTGCCTTCTGCCATACCAGTCTCAATGGGCACCTCAACTGATCTCTCCTACCCACTGCAACCCAGGTGTCCCCTGAAAAGTTGCTTCTGATGGTTAGGAGACCCTCCTGATCAGTATGGAATATGAACCAGAGGGTTGCAGTAGATGGAGGTCTTTTGTGTACGTGTGACAAAAATTAGGGGCCCTGCCTTGCACAAGCAGAAGCTTTTTTTCACTGGAACAAAGCCAACTTGGGATGCATTCTGTACCAAGTTCTCTTTCTCTCTCTCTCTCTTGGCCCCCTCCTCAACACTGGGCCTCAGTTATAAGAGTGTTTGGTGGATCTTAAGGACCCCAATACACATAGCATGTGTCATATCATGAACACCAGACTATCCAACTGGGTGTTATAAGTTTTTTGTAAGATGAAACAATTCACAATCTGCATAATATTTGTTTGTTTGTCTCATTTATATCCCATCTTTCCCTCAAGGAACTCAAGGTGGCATATAGCTTTCCCGCCTCCCCAGCATATCCTCACAACTACCCTGTGAGGTTGCTTAGGCTAAGAGACAGTAACTGACCCAATGTTGAAAAGTGTCAATTTAGCACCCACCACCACCACCATGCTATAGATGATAGATGATAGATAGATACATACATACATAGATAGATAGATAGATATAGATAGATATAGGAGATAGTGTCTCCCTGAAGTGCTGTATGTATATTCCTTTCTGTTAAGGATTCTCTGATTAGTAGCTAGCCAAGTTGCACTGTGGGATGAGGCCTCAGGTTATGTTGCTGCAGAAGAGATTGGGTTGAAATACAAACTGATTATAGTTTGTGTCACACCTTATGAGAAGAAAGAATTGGGCACCTGTCTAATTTCTGTCTCCCGTTCCAGTGATGAAAAGTGTACCTGGCTGGCTCTGCCAAGATATCTACAGATTGTACTGTAGGAATGAAGGAGAAATCCAGTTTTTATGCAACCTTATCTAATTCATACTTCTGAAAAAATACACAAACTGAAACATGGCTGTCCTTCAAAATTTGCATACAGAGAAATGTATTTTAGGGGAAATGTACAGTAAAATGCTGAGTAATTTTTGTGAGGTTTTTTAATTCAAAAAATTGCAAACTAATGCAGAAATATGGTGAACTGAATTCAAGATGGGAAAAATGAGAGATTCATCCATCCCTACTTGAAAGCCACACTTTAATAAGTTGTTTTGATGTGTTCGTGTTACTGTTTCCCCATGTATTCTGTCACTGCTAAACTTGCATTTCTCTTTATTTTTAGGTCCTCACACAAAGGTGGTCCGTCGAATATTCACAAATAGCCGGGAGAGGTGGAGGCAGCAGAATGTCAATGGAGCTTTTGCTGAGCTCCGCAAGCTCATCCCAACTCACCCACCTGACAAAAAGCTGAGCAAGAACGAAATCTTACGCCTGGCTATGAAATACATCAATTTCTTGGCCAAGCTGCTCAATGACCAGGAAGAAGAAGGAAACCAAAGGGGAAAAGTCAGCAAAGAGAGTGGCCTCGTGCAAGAGGACCTTCTTCAGGACATGTTGTCTCCAAACTCAAGCTGTGGAAGCTCATTAGATGGAGCAGGAAGCCCAGACAGTTTCACAGAAGAACACGAACCATTAGACCCCAAGCAGCACACAAGAGCTCTCCACCATTCTATTCTTCCCATTGAAAACAGTGCGCAGCGATGATGAACCTGCAAAGAGGCACAGGCAGGCCCTTGAATACATGGTATCTGGAATTTATGCATGTCCTTCACCCCCCCTCCTCTTGAAAAGAAAATGGGTACTTCCCAAGTTTTCCTGTTGGCTTGAACAAGAGAGCTGCATAACAAAACACAGATGGATCAAGTGCATCTTCACTGACAGAGCATTGATGGCCTGGGAGGATTGTCTTGTTAACTCTGTGTTTTTGAAAGAGTTTAACACTCAAAGGTGGAAATATGCAGCCATCTCATCTTGTATTCATACAAGGTTTAAAAGGGATTGGCCTGACACTCTGTCCTTCTGCAGAGTTATCACTGTTTCACTATTGTGTTGCCCCTCGTTCCCTGTCATCTGTTCCAAGCATCTTCTGTAACATTGTGCATCCGTGTGGCCATGAAAGCCCTTAAAAACCATCCTTGCAGTGTGGTTTTTCTCCAACTCACTTTGAGAAAATGTATGCAACTTGTCTGCCTTCACTCAAGAGCTTTGCCTTTCTTATGGAAGAAAGGAAATAATCCCTTGCGAAGGAACAGCTGACTTTGTGTTGTGGGTTTCTCTGAATTTTTTTTTTTTTAAAATTAAATCTAGCTCAGTTTTGGGTTGTTTGAGGTCTTGTATTTATGATGGTGGAAATCTTTTTGTTTAATTCCAACCTGCAGTATCTGTTGAACTAAAAAGGTACATCAGTGAGGGTTTGTTTCCCAACGCCTGACATTTCATCACAATGATGATTTCTTCTAACCTGGGTGAGCAACAGCATTTCCTTGGAGTTCTTACCTTGGGGTTTCCTGGTTTTATTTTTCCTGAAACAAGTGCGATGAGAAATTGTGTGTGTATGTAAATATATATTTATATACAAAACTGGTATAAACAATGTTTCAGTAATGCACTTTGACTTGTTTGGATTTACTTACGTAAAAGTCAGGGGTCACATGAGCCACTAGGAGCTTCTCCTGCACAAGATCTGTGTAAATGAATGGGAGTTGCACAAAAACATATCCATGAACCATATTTGTGGTTGATGCTGTTGGTCATCAGAGTCAGGTTCTTGCTGGGAATGGCAAATGGCCAACTGTGCTATGTGCCAGACATGCTAAGGGTGCCTCCAGATGGAGTATTCACCACCTGATTTGCTTGTGGTGAGGCTAGACAGCGTATCAGTGCATTCCCCCTATCACAGGTGGGTAGCTATGTTGGTCTGTCATAGTTGAAACAAAATAAAAAAATTCCTTCCAGTAGCATCTTAGAGACCAACTAAGTTTGTTATTGGTACGAGCTTTCGCGTGCATGCACACTTCTTCAGATACCTATGCATGCACGCGAAAGCTCATACCAATAACAAACTTAGTTGGTCTCTAAGGTGCTACTGAAAGGAATTTTTTTTATTTTGTTCCCCCTATCACTTATTGCAAAAAGTCCAATATTTGGGGGTTTGTTGCACAAGACCTCCCAAGCAACTATAGTTGTGCAGCCTGCATTTATCAGTATGTGATTGAATCAAACCCCAAAATAGCGACAGTCTGGAAGTGCCCTAGGAGACTTTGCAGTAGAAGCCCCAGGAGGACAATGCTCAGGGGGTACTATTCTCAGAAGTTGCAGGGAGCCAGAGCTGGTGTGCATTCTGTTGTGCAACATAGCCCTGTGATGTTATTTTTCTGATATCATGTGAGCTCTTTCCTGGGCATTTCTCCAATGCCAGTACTTTGTTCAAAACCTCTTCCAACTACCCCCCATCAGAATCTACCCAACTCTCTGCAATCTCACCAAACCACCAATAAAGCCTGTGACAGTGTTTGAGAAATACTTTGAGCTTTGAAGGTTACAGGCAATGATTCTGTGGCGATTGCAGATCCAGGAAGTTTTTACACTTCTCAGGGCCAATTCATATACTGTACTGCATGTTCAAGACGAGCGTAGGAGATCTTCTAAGTGTGCGGATAAAAATGTAGCATGTGAATGTGCACAAAGCAACATGTTTGCCAGCACACCCATAATTCTAGGATGCACATTGGGAAGCTATAGTTGCTAAGACTGCTTCTGTTTTATGCACTCTCTGTAGCTACAGCAGTTTTACAGGTTCAAGGCACGATTCAGAAAACTCTGGGTGCTTCCATAACTGAAGGACAGAGCTTTGCAAACAAATGGAAGTCTACCCTTAATGGAGAAGGCCTTTTGGGTTTCTGTCTTAAGTCTTGTTTTATTTTTTAAATAAACATCTCATAGATATCCAAACAGCTTTACAGAAGGCTTTTGTTTTTAATGCCAAAGGGTTTCTGATTTTGAGGGTTTGTGTTTTTTGGTGAAAGTTAAAGTATTTCTCTTTTGGACGATGTGCTTGCTTATGCATATGCGTGTGGACTTCATTTCCTCATTATCCCATTAACAGCCAAATGTATTTGTAGAGGTGGAATAAATAGCTTGCTAAACACTGCTTGTAAAAGTTTCTGTTTAAACAGTTGTTATGAACAGGAAGCATTGGCAGAAATCCATAGATAGGAAATGGAATCTGAAAGTCAGATTAAATGAACTGCAAAGCACCAGATTCTGAGTTTTGGGATGTCATCCTAACACACACATACTAGGGAGTAATCCTCATTGAACACATGGGGTTTACTTCTGAGTTAATACATATAGGATTGAGCTCTTAGTGTGTTTCATTCATTCACTAGTCCTGCACAGCCACCGTAGGTCAATTTTTGGGCATGTTCATCAGCCCCACATTTACTTTCTCCTATTTCAGTCTTTACAGTCTCTTTTCCTAGGTTGATAGTTAACTAGGAAATGGGATACAGCCTTCTCTAGTCTTTTGACCAATGAAAACTGTGGCATAGAGCTGCCTGTTCCTAAATAAATATGACTGGATTTCATAGAACTGCTAAAAAACAGGAGTGGCTCACCCGGTGAGTGGAGCTGCAGAAAGAGCCTCCTAGGACCAGTGTCACTGCTGCCACGTACTGTGTGGCATGAGGCCAGGGCTGTGTGGACACTCCAGTGGGAGCCTCTGCACAGCCCTGACCTTGCCACTGATTCATCTAGCCCACCCCATCAGTGAGGCCCCTGCCTCTGTCCCACCAGGCAAGCCCCTGAGATACCGCCTTCTGTTTTCTGAGGAAATGAACATTAACTATTGCTATGTTAAAATGTCTGTACGTATGTTTGTGTTGAGAGGTATATTATATGGAGAAGTATTTTCAAGTGAAAACGTTAAAAAAATAAATCCCAGTTTTTGGTATTATTGTTCTAGAGCCCCAAATGGTCTTGTTTGGTTTAGACTTGGCTTCACCCTTAGGCATGTCAGTTGGCTTTGGGAGATGTTAGCATAGATTTAATAAAGTTCAGACGCCCCCTCCCCAGCCACTTCCACTTCAGAATTAACTTCTGCAACTGATATTCCACAGGGGACAAATTCCTCTGACTTCACAATATTGTAGGTAAATGTTTGTGTGCGTCTAAAGAACTGTGCTCGGGGAAGTTGTGTGAGGAGCTCTTTAACCTCATTCCACGTCTTGCATTCTCTAGACCTCCACACCATTTCCGTGGAGCTCAATACCAGCCCTTACCATGGGTTAACATTCAACTGCTCCAAGTAAGTGATCCGTCCCCTTATGCTCTTGGTGGTACTGTCACTCTGCAAAAGTGTGGCGTGTCTCCCCTGAGCTGTTGAAGTAACCTATATTGTGTGAGCTTTCACACAGTCTTCCGCAAAGGTGTTATGCGGGCACTGTTGCATTTCCTAATGATAAAAATCCAAATGTACATTGTTGGATTTCATGTACACATTGACTTTCATATTCTCCCATTGAGACATTATAGGCAATGGGGTGTGTATCTTGAAGAAATTCCTCGCCCCCAGGCTGCTTCCAATAGTCAATGGCTCGCTACTGTTTCACAGCAGAGATGAGTGCAAACTGTTGTTTCATGTACTAAAATAGCAACTGAACTCATCTGATCAGTGAATGTCTGATCTCGCCATCAATGTGAATCTATTTGGTACATTTCACTGGATTTGCAAAAAATTAATAATAACGATGGCAGCTCAAGTCTGTGTACCACTAAGCCTAATGCAGCTCACCAGTTGATTTATTGAGACCCTGGTGAACTGTTATACATGTATGCCATCTCAATAAACCGATTTTTTTTCCTGCTTTCCTCACTGCTCATAAAAAAATAGCTGGTGCTCAACTTGCTGGGTCCTGTCCCTCACCTAGATATTTTATATGTGGGAAATAAGGTAAAATAATGTGGTGTGAATTTCTTCAGACATGCAGAATGCCACTTTAGGTTGGATCCAGACTAAGGTGAGTTTAGGTTCTATTGTAATCAACAGAATTAAACTAATGATGACTTGTCCCCTAGATTGTAATGGGAATGAAAAGTGCAGTCTTATACATGTCTGTTCAGATGTAAGCCCATTGAGTTCAATGGGATCTGCTTCCAGTCAAAGGCTGTAGCTATAGTGAAACGAGCTTAGTATGCACCTAACCTTCTGTGTTTAACTTAGACAACAGCAATCTTGCATTCCTTTGTAATGCCTCATAGAGTTCCAGGTCATGGAAGAAAACAACAATATGGTATCTATTTCTATGATAATTATAAATGCGAAGTGTCGGGGAGGGACTAAGAGTGAGACCAATAAGTAATTCTACACCTGAGTCGGAGATAATCATGCAGCCAGTGAAGGTGGGGCAGGAGGAGGAGGTCTGGGTGAGAATGGAGGAAAGAATCACTGTGCCTGATCTTGAGTTTTGAGATGTGAATGGCCTACTGGGATGTTGATCAATAGTATTGCCCCCCTAGTTAAACAGATGTCAGACTGTCTCTAGGTCACAGGATCCAGCCTTTGGTCTCTCTCCCTCTGCTTACCTTGCCTTCCCTGCATCACACGTCATCTGAATAGTGCTGGTGTAACTGGGAGGGTCACTACGGATCGATGTAAGCTGCTTACATCTCAATTTCTTTAGTGGGTTCTGTTGCCCAGAAATTGGGGAGAATAAAATGTTAGGTGCTTTCCACACATCCCATGCATTACTCACACTCTTCGACTGTTTTAATCCATATGAGAGAATGGTACAACTCGTATCTTTTCAGCACAGTACAATTTCAGTATATCTGAGGTCTGTTCATGTGTACTTTAAATTGTGATTGGAATGGTACAACTCTGCTTCCCCATGCCTCTTCTCTCTTGCCTGCTCTGTGTCTTGGTGTATATAACACCCACAAAATTTAGGTTCCGAAGAAGCAGCACTTTCAAGTCAGTGTCGTACTGTGTGATGGATTCTTTTTGCCCCCTTTTGTTGTTGTTTTCCCCCCTGCATTTTACAGCAGAAGTAAAGTATAACCAGACTTGGTACATTTTTATTCTGATTACCTTTGTAAAAGCCCACAAGGTGATGTGCTACTTTGAAAACACATTTGTTGTAATGTGTATGTATATATATATATAAATATATATATAATGACTATATGAAGGATATTTCTAAATAAAGGTTTAAAAAAATGACAACACCGTCTCCATGCCATCTTCTTTTGCCAAAGATTTTACTGTACTTCCACATAATCCAGATTATCTGAACAAGTCTGTTAGGAAGGACGGCAAAGCATACTTGGAGTGGTTGGGTTGGGATATTGGTATAAAAATATCTGTTTGGTTTGGTTGGGTTTGGTTGTGACTGATAATAAAAACAGGCAATGCCTCACCTATAGGCTAGAGAAAAATAGCCAAGTGATTTAGTTCTGTGCTTGCCCACACCCTTGTTACAGAACTTTCACTTACCATGAAAGGAAGAACTTGGTTTGGTGCCTGGGGAATGCTATGGTGCCCGCTGAGAGACTACTATCTCAAGAAGGGATGCCTTTCTGAATTTGACAGATGAAGCTCCTTCATTAGGA